AAAATTCCAATCACCTTATTTCTTAGATGCAAGAAAGCAAAGCCTAGAAAAATTAAACATCTAAGAGACCTAACTTCACATATCAAATCAGAATGAGGAATAGAAACTAGGTCTTCTGGATTTCTAAACCATCTTCAAAAGTAAGTGATTCACATTAAAAAGACATATTTTAGCTGCTCTACCTATGGAGTAGCCATTCTATTTTAGCTGCTCTACCTATGGAGTAGCCATTCTTTTATTCCTTTACTTTCTTAATAAACTTGAAAAAAAAATTAAAAAATAAAAAGACATATTTGTACTTTCTAGTTAATAAAATCAAAAATTATTTTCCACTTCTCACTATAGTATCTAATGATAGAAATCTTATATCAATGTTTTTCAAACTTTGGTGTGAATAAAACTCACTTGAGAAATGTGTTAAAATGCAGGTTCTCAGGCCACAGCACCAAACTGTGTTTGAAAATTTGAGAAAGAGCCCAGGAGAATTTGCACTTTTAACAAACACTTTGATTATTCTGATAATAACTGGTCACAGATCTATACTTTGAAATACACCGCCTTAAAGTTAGCAGAAAACACTGACATACATTAATAAAAAATTGAGGCTTAACACATTATATTTTTCATATAATTTTCTTCCTCTGACAACTGTTATTACTTGCCCTCAAATGATCTATCACTTATGACATCATTAAGTACAAGCCAGACAGAAAATGTCTGATAGGACAGTAAAATATTTGAGATCAATTTTGGAGAACTATTACAAGGATTTCTTAAATCTTTCCCACTCAGGTAGAAACTTCCAAATTAGAGTAGCTTATAAATGAGTAAATTGAACACTTTCTAATTTCCTCAAACGAAGCCCAAAATACTGTTAAGATATGCTGAAAAATGAGTTGGTAAAATTCAGGGTAAGAGGAAATGCTTAATAAATCAAGAACACAAAAGTTTGGAGAGCACATTTAAAATAGCAACTTTAGAATGAACACTAATAGTTTTAGCCCACTAAAGTATTTTTTAAGAATCTATACATCGGGAGGCCGAGGCAGGCAGATCACATTAAGCTGGGAGTTTGAGACCAGACTGACCAACATGGAGAAACCCTGTCTCTACTAAAAACATAAAATTAGTCAGACGTGGTAGTGCATGCCTATAATCCCAGCTACTCGGGAAGCTGAGGCAGGAGGATCGCTGGAGGCTGGGAGGCGAAGGTTGCAGTGAGCCAAGAACACACCATTGCACCCCAGCCTGGGCAACAAGAGCAAAACTCTGTTTCAAAAAAAAAAAAAAAAAAGAATCTGTACACATCCTTAATATTAAAGAGAATATTTTTCACACAGGGTGAAAACTGCACAGTAGTTTAAAAGGTAATTAAAACCACTTAAGTGTGACACTAATACTTCATTTCAGATGAGCAAACTAGAAAAAAAAGGAAACATCTAATGTGATTTTATGAATAAACTGACTTTATTACTTTATCTTTGAAATAGAATACTATTTCAGCTTATATTACTATTATAAAATTCTTCCACACAATTTTAAAATTAATTAATTGATTATTTTCCTTTTACCCTGTTTACCAGGATAATTTTTAATTTTATAATTGGACAGGTACCATTTTCTAAAAATCTGGGAAACTAACCACTATTAGGAAGAAAAGCCTAGATTCTAGAACTACATTAATGTGGGCTTTCTTTAAGGCTCAGATTAGGCATTAAAAGGAATCATGTATTTAAAGAAATAAGAAACTAACAAGTTAGATAAATAAAAAAAGGTTTTACCAGACAAAAATGGGTTTTTTAAAAGTCCATAAATGCCTAATAGCAGCAGAATGAAGAGAATCAGACGCGTTCGCCTTAGGGAATCTAGGAGAGAAAGAAAAAGCCTTTTATCAAATGACATTAATGAAATGTGACAGCTGAATGAAATGCAAATGTTAGGTTATTGTTGATAATTGTATTTCATCAGATGCAATTTTGGAATCTGGCATTCTTTTTCACAACTGCTATGATTTCCTGTAAGTACCCTATTACAAAAAACTTCATTAAGGCCGAGCATGGGGGCTCATGCCTGTAATCCTAGCACTTTAAGAGGTCAAGGCCAGAGGATCACTTGAGCCCTGGAGTTCAAGACCGGCCTGCACAACATGGCAAGATTCCATCTCTGCAAAAATTAGCTGGGTGTGGTGGCACATACCTGTGGTACTAGCTACTCAGGAAGCTGAGGTGAGAGATAACTTTAGCCCAGGAAGTTAGGGCTGCAATGAGCCATGTTGCACTATTGCACTCTGGCTCAGGCGATGAAGCAAGACCATGTCTCAAAAAAAAAACAAAAACAAAAAAAAACAAAAAACAAAGAAACAAAAACCTTTATTAAGCCATTCACACTTCCTGTTCTCCAATTTGTTTCCTCTCTTGAGAAAGGGAAACCATCAGCAGTATCTCCAGTTCTACATAGATTAAGTTACAAACATAGTGGAATTTAATCAAAACAAAGATGGATGGTCTTAAAAAAGTTACTTAAAACTTAAATGTAGGACTATGACTTCCTTTCAGTTAGTCTTCTCAAACATGGACTGTTTTCAAATCAACTTACCATTGGTTTTTTGAGTGAGTGCTTGAGCTTTCAGAAAACCTTCTGCAAAACCAGTTTTAAATGCATCTTGGTGAGCTTCAGGTATATTTTTGGTTTTCATGAGTTTGTCCAAACTCTCAACATCTGATCCTCTGTCCCGCAAGAGAAACCCCTGAATACACAGACAACACATCAGTACTGGTTAACGTCAAAGTGACACTCCCCAATAATATTGTGACCACTCAAAAAAATTCACTAAAATTCTATAATTTTTACTGTCAATGTGAAGAAACAAATTAAGACTCAGCAAAGAATTAAACAACAACTAGGAAACTAATACTAGATCCTATTCCTGGATCAGTCAATTAATAATATAAAGAAAGTGGCATTATTCTCTGCTAGAATGCTATACTGAAAACAGATAGGTCATATATTATCTTAGGGTTTGATTGGCTTAATGTTCATATCCCTTTATGTCTGCTAGAGGAAAAATCTCATTAATTTACTAAATGTCTACTAAGCACCATTCACATACTTGGCTATAAGTTCTGAAGCTGTAAAGATAAACCACTGATCTTAAAGTTTTCAGTCTACTGGAGAAAAATATGTAAATAGCTAAGTTTCTTAAACCTTTTTGATATTATAAGTATTATGTATGGTGGTAAATAAAGGCTACCTCAGAAAGACAGGAAACACCTTATAGAGAATAAGACATCTAAAACATGGAATAAACCACCATGAACAATCTAGCAGAGGCATGAAACAATAGCCTTCAGTGCTCAAAAACTACAAGCAATCTTATATAAGACTTCAATGCTAAGAGAAGAAAAGGGAAATGGAGGGGGACATATTGAAAGGTGAGAAGAGAAACATGGCAGGTAGAGGGGCATGAAATTCCCAGTGCATCAGATGGAGGTAAGGAATAAAGCAGAGTAATGTAACTAGATCATCATTTTAGAAAGATTAATGGGTGGCAGTCTGGAGGCTGGACTGAATGCAGCAAGACTAGAGGCAAGGAGACTAAACAAGTACTCCTTAGAGTAATTTAGGCAAGAAATGGTTATAGCGCATCTATGACAGTGGAACAGATTTTAAAAATATTTAGGAGCTTAGATCAACAGGACTTTAGTGATTAATGGATGTGGGAGATAAGGCAAGATGGATAAATGTAGCTTGGCAGCCAGAATTTTAGCTTGGGTGGATGCTGCTCACTAATACAGAGAACACCTAAACAGGTGTATGTTTGTGGGAAAAAATCTAGTAAGTGGAAAGGCAAGTTTAAAGCCCAGAAGAGTTAGTGGTATAATGATTACACAGATTACTAATCCCTTATTATTAGTGGAAAGAAGGAAGAAAATCTATCAGCCAACAAAAGAAATCAGATATTGAAGCTCCTCACTGTTTTCAACAACTTGAAAGTATTTGCTTTTTGGATCATAAAAAGGTCTCATTACCTTCACAAATGATGGCGCTATATTCTGTGTTTCAGCTAATCTCTCGGAAGTGGACTGGAGACGTCGTGTTCTCGATTTCAAAGTTTTAAAACCCCGAGACTGTATGAAAACTAAATAAAACAATACCATTCACTGTCACTTTCAATTGTTACAGGAAAAGAAAAATACCTAAGATTCTAAAGTATGACACCCTACCTGTATATCCTAGTCTATCTAATTTGCCTGATGCTTCACTATATTTTCATTTGTTTCTTTCTTTTTTGTAGAGATGGGGTCTCTCTTTATTGCCCAGGCTGGCCTTGACCTCCTGGGCTCAAGCAATCCTCTTGCCTTGGCCTCCCAAAGTACTGAGATTAGGTGTGAGCATTTAAATCTCCCATGCCCAGCCTACATTTTTTTCTATCATCCTCTATTCAAAAGGAACTTTACTTTTATGTTGATAGGAGATAAAAGTAAATCGAGAAGTTAGAAGGTTATACAATATAATTTTAAAAACTATCAACTCTGATAAACTGATTTTTTAAAAAAAAAAAAAAAAAAAAAAGAGGAAGAAAGGAAAAAAAAAAGGCCAGGTGCAGTGGCTCATGCCTGTAATCCCAGCACTTTCAGAGGCTGAGGTGGGCAGATCCCAAGGTCAAGAGATCTAGACAATCCTGGCCAACATGGTAAAACCCCATCTCTACTAAAAATACAAAAATTAGCTGGACGTGGTGGCCGGTGCCTGTAGTTCCAGCTACTTGGGAAACTGAGGGAGGAGAAAAGCTTCAACCTAGGAGGTGGAGGTTGCAGTGAGCTGAGATTGAACCACTGAACTCCAGCCTGGTGACAGACTCTGTCTCAAAACAAACAAACAAAAACGAAACTTCAGCTAAGTAATTAAAATAGATTAAATCTGCACAACTAATTTTTACATGTTTTTGGTAATTACATGCTTTTTTTTTTAAAAAGATGAGTGTATCAAATTAGTGTTTTTTAATTCCTCAAGCCCCAATCTCACTTGTCAAAAGTATAATCTGTTAACAATTCTGACTACCCTTCTATGCATGTACCTACATGCTCTTTCTATAAAAACAACTCTAGAAACAGTACCAAATTTTTTTGCAATTTTCATTTTTCTTGAATTTCTTTTTTTGAGACAGAGTTTTACTCTCGTTGCCTAATATGATGTATGTTGTGTATTTCTTGTCAGGATAAAACATTTACTGGGTTTTGGAGAAACTGTAAATAAAACCTACTGCTAGAATACAAGAAAGCTATTGATTTTTATGCATTTATCTGGTATGGACAATGCAGTGAACACTTTACTTGGAACAGCCTTGTGGATGATTTTCTTGAATTTTCTGGTAAATAATCATGTCACCTTTATAATTTTAATTATAATTTTACCCCTTCCTTTAATTTATATGCGGCTCATTTCATTTGCTTTTAAATTATCTTGTTCAGAATCTCCAAATTAATGCTGAAAAAAACCAGGATACTACGTTTCTAAAATTAACAGAAACATGTTTTAAGAAATTTTTAAAGTTTCCTTCCATTTCCAGCTTTCTAAGAGTTTTCAGAAAGCACAGCAATTAAAATACATCATGTCTTTTTATCATACATTGCAATAATGACGTTTTTTCTAATCAACTAATATGATAAATTGATTGATTTACTAATAATGTTAAATTACTTCTGTATTCCTTAATCATGATACAATATTTTTAGCACATTTCTAGACTTGCTTTCTTCAGATTTTATTTAGGATTTCTGTTGTTAAGTGAAACTGACCTATTTTGTTCCTCTGTCATGCTTGTGAGTGTATATACATATATATACACATATCTATATACACATATATATACACACATATATATGTATATACATATTTACACATACATACATATATGTACAAACATATATATATATATTTTTTTAGACAGGGTCTTGCTCTGTCACCCAAGCTGGGGTACTATTTTGTACCTCGGCATCAATGCTTAAACCAGGAGTCTCCACAGATAGACTTCCCTCAATACACCAACACACACACACACACACACACATCTTACTAAAAAGGTGTTTTTTGCTAATTTACCTAAAGATTAAACATTATATCTGTTCTGTGATTGGCCCATTTCTGGCAATCTTCAACTGTTTATTCTATCCCATCCCAGAAGCCACTTTTATTGATCTGGGGCTGAGGATTTTCCCGAGATCTAATGGAAGCAGAAGTACTTACTTCTTTCATGAGACCCTATCATTAGTCCTATGAAGGTAGAAAATGTCCTTTTCATTTACAACTATCATTATCACCTGACATCTATCGCTAGTGCCTAGTATTCAAAAATTATATGAATATGTGCAAATCTGATTTTACGTCAATTTGATGTCACCTATTTTACAGCCTACTGAAAGTCCTCAAATTTCTAGTCCATTAATGAAATCCCTCTGTTGTTGCTCTTTCTCTCATATATATATATTTTATAATTTCAATGGGCTTTTGAAAGTGAGAATGAGTAAGCAAATGTGCTTAGTCAATTATTTTGAAAAAAGTGTAGATAAGTTCCCTGGAATTTGATTTATTGTGATGCTATCACACTCAAAATTCAGCTCCTATGTATTTTCCAGATTAAAAATTATACAGAAATACCAAAACTTATCAATTCCAAATACTCTTTAAGTCCTGTGAACTGCAAATGAATGTTTATAATCATTAATACCATTAAGAAAAACAAATCAGACTACAGTAAATAAATCTATTATTTTTTCCAAAACAGCTATGGTTGTTGCTTCATACCTGGCCAGTACTGAAGATCTGAACAAATGCTTTGAAGAGCTCTTGAATGATGTCCATACAAGCAAGAGGAACGTAAGGTACTAAATATATCTAAGTTACCTGGAGGAAAATTGCAAAAAGTAAATTTTCTAATTTTCAAACCAAAAAATCCTATGAAATATAAATAATTCTATCAAATATTAGGGAAATCACAATGTGAGTTTCAACTTTTATTTATCCATGATATGACTGTTTTTATGAAAATATCTAAAGCATTGCTAATTTAACTACTTTACATCTCACAGTTCTTCAGTTTACTAGCTATCACTTGTTGGTTAGATTATCTTTTTTAACTGGCATACAAATATAGCTGCTTATTAAACTAAATTCCAATTAACAGTGATAATAGATGTACTGTGTTTAGGTTAAAATTACTTTTAGTTAAGAATATAAAGAGATAAAGAATTGCTATTTCTTAAGAGACAATTTCAAAAGTGGTATAATAAAACACCATAAATCATAGCTACCCTCTTATAATAAGCGGGTTCATACTAGTCTGTTGAAAAGGGATGTCAACTTTATGAGTTTCCCTCTTAAAGTTTCTTTCCCTCTTAAAGTTTCCCTAGTCATTGGGTATAAAGAAAGGTCAAGTCATGACTACTTCACTGATTCTTCCTAATTCCTCTTCTTGACTATGGTGTCTCATCCTATTTTACATCCAAGATCCTAGGGAAAAGGTCATCATCAGCAACAACAGAAACAAACAGGGGTTATCATCTATTTGTGTGTACCAGTTAGAATTCAGGGACTCTTCAAAGTACCCTTAGCATCCAGTAAAAAATCCTTTCCTAATACCTCTGCCAGCCTAAATAAATCTACCAAGCAGCTGGTATTATGAGGAACAATCTTTTTTTTTTTTTTTTTTTTTTTTTTTTTT